GATGTATTCGTCAAAGAGTAAATATAACATACCATAACATCACGTGTTTTTATCCCCGAAGGGGTATGCAAAGGTGCATAATACGGCACTATATTTATTAAGTAAATATTTTCCGTGCAAATGACGCAATATGGACAGTAGGCCTTAAGTGAGCAAGCAAGTGCACACGTGTATGGCGCCGGCATTATAATGAACGCATAGTTGAGTGTCAATGCAAAGAGGGGACCGTTTGAAATTTTAAACTTAGTCCGCCATTTCCTTTTGTTTGCGCACCTAATATTGAGCATAGAAAACGCTTTGTCCGTTGTTCTGCGAAACAAGTTGTTTCATTTGAAACTCTATTTCATTTGATATGAAACAAATTTTGAAATTCATAATCGTTTGGAACAGGAATTGTCTTTTATTTTAGTGACTCTTTTTAATGATTTTCGTTTCATAGGGAAGTTAAATGTAGATAAAAAGCAGTCTAAAAATAACGGTAATAAACTAAAATTATAGAAAACTATTGGGTGTTCTAAACGAACCACGGAGTCTAGACATAGCTTAGCACATGTATAAAAGTGCTAAGAAAGAATAAAATAAATGAAAACGCTTGAGCGACAGACCAAGAGCACACTGTTTAAAACGAGAGAGTATTACATAGCATTTGATAGATGGCGCTGTTAGTATGTATTGTGATATTGTCGATACAAGATACAAATTAAAAATAACAAAGATTAATAAGACAAGGTTTCAAAAAAAATAACAAAATATTTATCGAAATAACTAAAACAAAACTATGAATGTATACAGTGAAGATAGCTATTGAACCTAGTCAACAAGCAAGTCATAAACCAAAAGCTTAGTTAGACTAGCCACTAGGTGTGATGTAACGATGCCCTCTGACTCCTATCACAATAACACTACACATAGACAATTAAAGTGATTTATTCCAATTGCCATCGGCAGACATACATACGTTAACTGATGTCACATTTCATTAATCTGTAGATGAGATTTGAATTTTAACTCTGGTATGACATTTTCCTTTTATTATTCAGAATTTTATAGAATACTTAGAATACAAATATAATACTGGCCCCTTGCGCTTAATTGGCCACAATTCCAGACTTTGTACACACTAATATAATAATAATGTGCTTGATCCTCGAAATGCTACGTTATTCTGTGAGATGTCAATTCGAACTCTGGAAGTGAGCTCGATCGCATTCTCGTCCGTCATTGGTCGAGATTATTCTTACAACCAATGACATGGTGAGCCGTGATAGACGTCACTTCGAGAGTTCGAATTGACATCTTACAGAATTGGCTAGGTGATCCAGAGACTTTTTGTTCAGCAGTCACATTCGCCACTATTAGACCACCGAGTTTTTGTGATATTACATATAATATTATTTAATTGCAACTGCTTAAATTTAATGTTTTATCAGCCTTTTCGATTCTTCCCAGGGCCCCAAGCCTTAGTCTACCTCTTTAAGCAATCCGTCTAGACTATACCAAATCAATTCATTACAGAATTCCCATAACCTTATAAGGTTTAAACGAAGTTAAAACACAAATGAGGCTATCGTAAACCTAACTAACTGACCATTGAATCGACGGTACCTAACTATTAAAACTTACTATTGGTTGGTAATTGGCATACGGCCCGTCACGTTAACCGTTTGTAGACGCACGCATACGCAAGTAATTGGGTATTCTAAATGTGTCCTGTCCTATGTGAAGGGATTTCAAAGTATTTTGTGTAACATCCCTCATAAAACTGAGTAATGCGAAAGTTGGGTAACGGTTTTTAAAAGTAGGTTTATTTTGTGGCATTGTCTGGGAGAGCAAAAAGGATTTTTGTACTACTAGTGATAGCAACAAAGCTTAAACCATAGCCTAGTTATTTTTTATTTGGTCGTATAATTAAATAATACTTAGATAAAGCGAATCAAAGTTTAGGAGTGGGGGCTAAAACGTCATTTCTACGTATAAAATGTCCATAGAAGTACGTCACGCGACATTTCAAATCAATATATAGTCGAAAATATTCGTTTCTGTAAGAAAATAAAAAATACGTGTCTAAGGATTTAAAATTATCTACCAGACAGACATTAAAATAAAAATTAGGCATCTACCCTATTGCTTCTCCATCCAAAGATGCTATTAATGGAATCGGCATTACTATCGACTTTTAAGATGACAAGAATATTAGTAATGCTTCACTGATATTTTAAAGCTCTACCACAGAGAAAAATAGGCAAAGCAGTACTTTATACAGACTTCACACTCATTTCAAACTTACATCAACTACAGCACTGAGAAAACACTATCGTATATTTCAATGTACTACTCCACGTACCTATTGATAAGCATTGATTATAAAATTAACTTGATAGGTTAAAGTTTGCGATCGTGTAATAGAATTGCAAATGAATCTTAAATATTATTGTTCGTTGCAAAACTTTACGAGAATTCATTGAGAAATAGAATAATCTTTACTGTGAATAGTTTACGGATCAAAGGTCTTTAGGTACTTGTGTCGTAACGTCTCCCTTGTTTTTCTGTGAAGGCGTAGGTGGCACTTAATTAATAAACATACCTCTTGTCTTATAGTAAATGAAGTTAAAGATTAGACAAATATATGAAATAGGAGAAAACTGAATGATTACGACTAACAAATTAATGTAACATTTGCTATCACTATGGACTAAGTTACCACAAAACCATCGCGAACCTGAATGTTTAAATCATATTTTCGACAAATACTTGTAGACTGTCACTAAATGATACCTCATTTAAAAAAAATCTCTCATATCAACGCATTAGTACATTCAAAAGAAGGACCAAAGAGGTGTTATTCTTGAAGTATTAAGGTGCAATTTATTACATTAATATAATCATTACAATTCACCTCTTAGGTGAAGGTTGAACTATAAATTCTATTAAACCGGACTGTGAATATTGACTCAACGTGTTGAAATGTTTATATCAAATGTTTGAAGTGCAAATACAAAGTAATTGTATTATAAACAGACTATTATTTAGGCATGCTATTATAATTGTAAACTGAAATAACAAAGGTCATGAGATTTAGTGAATGGTAATTGTTGGGTTTAAATTCAATGTCAGTACAATGATTTTATTAGTGTAGAAGAGCCATGCTTCGGCACGAATGGGCCGGCTCGACCGGAGTGATACCACGGCTTCACAGAAAACCGACGTGATGCAACACTAGCGTTGTGTTTCGTCGTGTGAGTGAGGTTATCGGAGGTCCAATTACCCTCCCCTTCCCCAATCTCACCAATTCTTGAATCTTCAACGATCCTCAAACTCCAAATCTCCAAAAAGCCGCTAACGCACTTGTAACGCTTCTGGTGTCCATGGGCGACGCCAATTGCTTACCATCAAGTGATCCGTCAGCTCGATTACCAGCTTATGCCATAAAAAAAATTGTATCAGAATGACAAAAGTTTTTTCGTATGTAGCTGGGTTATACAAGAGGTTTATAACTTTATTCTTATTAGGTACGTGTGTGCTCTCAAATCTTTATGGTTTTGAACTATTTCATAACCGTCATCATCGTTTCCTTCTCCTCTTATAATATCTTCTGATTCACTTCGTTGCGGGAACCAAGACAGTTATTCATATCCCTGGGACGCACCGAACTTCAGTGGTTCGATGTTTTCATGGTTGTATCTACTATAGATCCTGGCTTACAGGAGTTGCAGCGGTTTGGAGAGGATGCGGCGGGCTTGTCCCAAATAAAAAAAACCGTCATCAATATCAACATTAGCAGCAGCAGCAGCAATAAGAAGACGCCCAGCGTCAAACAAAACCATTCTGTATAGTCTTACTTGTCGCTTTCATGCATAATGGGTCCCCTTTTTCAAAACAAACAATATAACCTTTTTATACTCATTAATTTAAACTCTATCAAGTTTAAAAGAAGAATCTCTAGGATTAGCGTCCATTTATTTAGCCCAAAATAACGACAGCAATAAATTTCTAAAAAAGGCGGCAAACTACATTCGACGCGGCGTCAATATTCGCATCAATTAAGCCCTCTTCAGGCGAACGGTTTCAAACACGATCTGAATTGCAAATATACACTTTTTCTTCCCCTTTCCAATGTACGTCTAAATGGATCTAATTGGAAATTCAGCGCCTCTTAAATTTCAAGTTTGTTTCTAGAAGCGAATTCGATTCTGAGGACCAATTTGGTCCTTTTGATTGATTGGTTTGGTCCTATTGATCTACATAGAGATTAAAAATAATACATCCCTATCATACCTACTGTACCTATACCTACTATGGATATACGGTGAAAGAAATCTAGCAAGAAAGAGATTATTTGTATACCAAAGACATATACTGAAAAAAAAAACGTCATGAGAAAACCTGGGCTTATAATTTCTAACTATAAGTTCTAAATCGCCAATCTGCATTGAGTAATCTTGATTGTTAATTCTTAAATCTTCTCCATGTTAAGAAAGTCTATTGCTTAACAGTGGGTACTTAGGTATAGGCTAATTATGTACATACATACCTACTAGCTCTTACGTTGAATTTTCTGCTTTCATTTTAAAGTTTAAAACAATTGTGGGTTTTTATTCAGTAAACATCAAAAGTTGGCTGAATAGAAAGTTCGACATGTATCGAAATGAATGGTGACCATTTAAAATAACTAGTTTTGTGGAACGAGAAATAGTATTTTCACAGTAAAATGAAACTTTTTGTGACAGAACTGAAACAAAAAAATATCAAAAGTTTGGTAATATCAAATTACAATGATTTTCTTTGCTTTTTTAGTACCAGAAAATTATAAATGATATTTGCGAACCTAACAAATGATATTAATAACATAACTACGTAAAGTTAAATGCACTTTAATATCACAGCAAAAGTGTTCAGAAAGCTAACAATACGCCACGTTTTTCATCTTTATTTTCTTTATTACAATCGCCTTTTTTCAAAACCTCAACAAAATATTCTACAAAATGTTTTTCTTTATTTACAGGTACCAATGGTTTCTCATCCTGCTAATGTCTTCGGCAGTCTTCGCGAACGATGGACTCTTCGGCTCTAAATTCCAGACTGGTAAACATATTCTTTTTGGTAATTATTTGTGTTTCTATTTCGTTTTTAAGTTCGCTTTTTGGATCTCTTGGCTTAGTAGATTTTTATGTATAACAGACTGAGCTAGCTTGAAAAGGACCGCAAGAAAATGTCTTATGATATCCTTTAACCAGCTTCAATTTTTACTTTTTACAAACAATTAATTAATATATTAATTTTGTGTTAAAGACATTTTGCACCGTAATCTTAATTTTTTTAATTTACATAAGTGATACAATATTAGTTACTTTAAGTTTATGAGCGTAACAAAGGTAATAATAATAAACTGTACATTTGTTCCGAAAAATTTTCAAATACACAAATTTTACACAATCTAGATAATCGCAAACTCATTTCCATACACAAAAAAAATGAATAATTCAAACCAATACCGTCGATCGCTTGAAAAACCTCATAAATACCTAATAGCCACTTCGTTCAAACTGCTAATTCGTCGATAAATCATAAAAGGCGATAACGCTTCGCCAGTAAATACGTCGTAACATGAATTAACAACTTTATTCCACCGTTTATTATTCATTAGGATTGTAAATGTCTTTTCTAAATCAAAACTTTAAGATAAAGCTGACTTAAACTAATATAAGACATATTTCTTACTTTGATCACGATTGCGACATCAACATCTATCAGAGATTTGAAATGGAGTTAAAATTCTTTTAGCGATTTAATCAAATAAGCTTCTTTTATATTTTTCTGTGTTAATACATGCTTAGTACAGTGAAAAGTGAGAGATTGATTATTGCTTGAATAAGAAATATTATTCATAGCAATAATTCATAGCGTATTGATTTCATATCAGCGGTAAAAGTAGTATTCTCACGTTCATCAAAATATAAAATACATGATTGATACAATATTACAACGTAATCGTCGAGGCTATAGGCCGAGGTATACATAATGCAGTATGTTTACTGCAGTAACTCTTTTATGTATGTCAATGGTTCCACCGAACAGAAAGCCAGTCTTACGAACACTATGTAAGCCAAAGTATTTTTCAATTCTGACACCTAAATCAAGATTAGGATAGTATTATAGTTTAATTATATACATTTACGTTTGCAATCGTTGAAGCTACGTCACCTGCAGAATGATTTAATTAGGCAACCGTCCCGAATAATTTTTTTTACATTACTAGTTACTTTTTACCATAAACTAGTAATGCATTAATGCTTATTCATGCATTTTACCTTACATTATTAATTAATATTAGTCGAGCATTCAGTACACTACTAGCGGTCATTGCGTGTGCTCACTCACTTCTTCGTATCACTCATAAAAGTGTGGTCTGATTATTATAGACGTTTCATTATTAACTTTATAACTGCCGTATCATTTAAGTTCCTACCAAAATTTTACAAATAGTATAGGATAGTCCTTTACTACAAAAATAATACATAAATAAAGCACTGCTCCACTGCACACAGAGGTACAAAATTTAGAGACAAACTCCACAGTTACACGCCGATGATAAACCTATATTACGTCGTTTGAAATGCTCATCCCTATTCTGAGAACCGCAATCGTTTTAACTACGCCATTTACTCTACAAAGCGGAGAAAACCGTGGGGCGTTAATTGTCTCAGAGCTGCAAACAATCCGTATGAAAAGTGCCCAGTTTCGCGGAACACTGTACAGTATTTAATTTTATGTTTTAGTGTACACTCTACGGCTGTTAAGGGACGTGTGTGCCGGCTTTAGGATAGCTCCTCGTTACGTTGACCGTTTTATTCGTTCAGATTTTCTGTTAATTGGGTTTAGGTTGGTTGTGTCTATGAATTTTTGAATTGTCGTTTTGTTTTTTAGATAGATATAGAGTCAGGGGTATAGTTTGTTAATGACCCAATATATCAATAAGGCAATAGCAGCAAAGCAAAAGCAGCTGCCTATAAAGGGTCATTGGATAAAATTTAATTCGTATCTTAGGACCAACTACCATTTGTACGGCTTTATAGTATCAGTGCTTATTATAAAAAAATCAATTAATATTTTTAGTTCATATCTCAAATTCAACTTGTTACATGGTATCGTAAAATCAGTTAAATGTAATTCACAGTTTGATGCATCGTAATAGTCTTGCGCACATGGAAACATGTTTAACGAATACTGAAACTACATATAATTTTATAATAATTATCGTGAGACATACTAAATTAACTAAAAACGCGGGTTACTCACGTGAATATACTGAGAAAAGCTCTACTAGTTTTGAACCACAGAGGGGTTCTTCCTTATGAGCAGCGTGCGCGGTCGCGGGGATATCGCGCAGCTCACTGTGCATGAGGAAGAACCCCTCTGTGGTTCGAAAGTAGTAGATCTTTTATCAGTATATTCACGTGAGTAACCCGCGATTTTAGTTGAAACAATAATGTTATAACCAAACATTGCCTTTAGAAAATATTGAAAACCACACAGTACACAACGTTATTTTCATCAACTTTTCGAAATGTTATCTGTTATAGAAATCGAAAACATTTTACAAAGGAGCTTCCATACTCAGTGTCGGTAGCGTGCACTTGAAGCGCTTCAGGAAATTAAATAAAAATGTACCGGGAGCAGACTTCTTAGCACATGCGAAGATAGGAGCAAGCAACGTAATATGTACTTAGTTTTATAAAGAAAATACTATGTTGCGCTGTTTTGCTGCATTTAAGTTTGGCAGAGCACTTCTAACTTTGTTAATTATATGTTTATTGTTACTTCTGCCATCAGTACTAATACACAGTCAATAACACAACAATATAATCAAACAATAATGCGATCCGAAGTTTGTAAGAAAGAGACAACAAATCTATTATTCGACATAATACAACATTCAAGTCTGAATCTTGGAGAGGCCTATTTTCATCCTATTGTTAATGATGAAGTCTAAGTCTACAAAAGCTTAGATTCACATAAAAATATGTGATTTATTGAGATACTAACTAACGAGCTAACGGGTTACCGGGACTCCGGCTCGACGTGCAGGAGAAGGGACGGGGTGGTTTTTAGTCAGTAAGAGTCTGACACTCCCTCCCGCCTCACCTAGGCGGGAGCAGTAATCGAATGATGTTCCCCCCTTAAAAAAATACTACTCTCTCTATAGTTAGAAGAGATCGCAAAACTAACTGCAATAGATAATCTCCATATCAAAACTACTTACCGCAAACTCCTCCAAATACCTCATAACAGTCTCTAGAGGATCCTAAACCAATATGGTGTTCTCGACTCAGTTCACAACCCGCCAGCCAATCCAACGAGTGCATATAATGGGGAACAAGGTTCAACTCCCTAGGGAAAATATAGTGCAGGCAGGATGCGACTAAAGGCATGCAAATGTAAACGTACGTATGTAGTAAACGTGCGTAGCTTCCATTTGCGACTAATTAATCGCAGTGTTTGTGGTTCAGTTGACAAAGGACGTATTCTTCATTAAGTTGCAATGGTTGGCACTGTAATTTTTAGTGCAGTTGTGAGTTTGTAGCGTAGTTTGAATTGGTATTTACTATTCAGCTTTTTAATTACTAGTTTTGTTAACAAATTGTGATTTTTTGAGAACTGCCCTCACTTCTAAGTAAAACAGGTGCAGCAAAAAGGTTTTTTTTTATTTAAAATCAAATACTGTTGATATACTCAATATAATGTCGAGTTAAGCTTTACTTAAAAGGTTACAAAATACCGTATAATATATCACTATTTTCACTTCTGTATGGTAAACCAAGAAAGGTAAAATGATAAAATATTACAAATTTTGTTACTTACTTAAAATATTACAAAATACCGATACGGTATCACTATTTTCACTTCTGTAGGGTAAACTTTAAAACAACATAAAAACCGTCTTTTAAATTATTACTACCACAGTCGCACACCATTCAATTGTCTGAACAAAACACCACGCCTTAGTAGTCTATTTCTAAAAATAGACACCATTAAAGACACCTCGTTTCATCGACCGACAGTCTAATACAATTTTAATACCTAGAAGCTAGTTTTTTATTCAGAACATTTACCCGTAGACTTTTTAAATGTAGCCAAGATAGCGTTTATAGCTCAGGAGACTTACTAATACCACTTACATTAAGTGTCTACTTACCGACTTGCATTTTCTCAACCGCCAGTTGAATTAAACAGCGGAATACGTTATTTTAAAGGAAATACAACTTACATTGGCGCTTCGAGACTTTATTGAGTTCTAATTTTATAGCGTTTTTATGTCGCTTCTGTGTGTTTCGCTTTGAATTTGTTATCTAAAATACAAATTGCATTAATATTTTTAATGTTATTAGTAGGTACTTTATTTACATAATTTTTATCTTCTGTGTTATACTTAGTACCTACCTACATCTCTTCTATTTTGTTCAACAGGGTAAAATTATCAAGAGAGTAGTAGTGCGGAATGTAATTGACATTATTGAATGTTTAACTTCAATTTATGTTGGTTTTCTTGCTTGTTACAAACTTTAATCAAAAACAGCTTATCAGTGTATAAAATATGGATCCCAAAATATGTTCCTAAACCTAGACTTGGATATCATCAACTTATTCAATCATTTTTTCTTGCAGATATCCCCGAATACGACTTACTACACGCGATCGGAGTTCCGTTCAGCAATCCGAAAACCCAATACTTCGATGAAGGCCTAGATGGGTTCCCTGCATACGGCCTTATGCCCGGATCTGATATAAAATCCCCATACCGTCTCTTCATGCCGGAGAAGCTGTACTCAGAATTTTCAATCACAGCTACTGTAAGACCGGCAAACAAAGATGGCGGGTTTCTATTCTCAGTCGTTAACCCTTTAGAAACGGTAGTGCAATTAGGTGTCCAATTGATCCCATCGGGTCCTGGATTAACGAACATTTCTTTGCTATACACAGACGCTAATATTTATGCGTTGTCACAAACGATTGCGTCTTTTGTCGTCCCTTCTTTTGCGAAAAAGTGGAGTAGATTTGCTTTGAGGGTTACGACTGACAATGTGACTCTGTTCTTAAACTGCCACGAGTTTGATACGGTCGTTGTGAAGAGGAATCCATTGGAGCTGGTCTTCGATTCTGCGTCTACTCTGTATGTTGGACAAGCTGGGCCGTTGATTAGAGGTGCCTTTCACGTGAGTATTATTTATTTTATGCATATACACCTAACTACATAGTTATATTGTATTACTGAATTGAAAATTTTCAAACTAAACTACATAGATTGTTAATATATTTGTAACTTTTTCATCTCTTGAATTTCAAGAAAGTATAAAGCAGTATATTTTCACTAAATAATTTTATAACATTGTTCTTAGATTTAAGACTAAATACACTGACAATTTATTGACCGTTTTATCGCAGAGCTATTTAATAGCCAACGTAAAAGCTTATTTAAAAATAATACTGGCACTTACATCGCATAAAAACTTTTGGAGCGTTTAAATCTGGATTGGAACAACCCCCGTTTACTACAGTTGGTATAAAGATCCTCTAGGGGCGACAACAAACTTTTCTATTAACTTCAAGTAACGTTGAGTTTAGAAAATGTTTAGAAATGTCTCTAATTTCACTGCTACAACAACTTTTGTTTAAGAAATAATCGATGTCGCAACACAATTCTTCTGAAAACAACTAGACATTTAGCTAAGATTAAGCTTTATCTATTATTTTCAAATAGTTTTAATTGGTGCATTATTAGGATCATTGGAGAAATAAATTAACTAACATTGGAAAATTTTGTAAGTTCTTATTGTACTGGACATTGAAACCTTATTTATAGTATTATCCATAATTATATTATTATTATATATATGAAGATCACAAAACTCTGATCAAGGTCATATAAACTTGAATCTGGTTAATCTTTAATTAACCTAACAAAGGTCTAAGTTCAAGTCGATTGTTCTAACAAACGAACAAACCAAGACTAATCATTAATACTTCAAGTAATAAAGAGTTGAATGAAAGTCGTAACAAAATGAATTGATCTAAAACAAAGAAAGTGTTACTATAATCTTAAGTTTAATTTTCACAATTATTTATGAACATTAAACTTCTCAAGGTCAATAGGTTTGAGTTTAATCGCCATCAGGTCAAGCTACACCAATCTATAAGTTTCTCATTCGATTTTCGACTTTACATTAATACATTAAAGTTGAAAATCTAGTAAAGAAGTTTACAATAAGGGGTAGGTTGATATGCTGGTGAATGTTCATATGAACTTAGATTAAGATTTATGATGATATAAAACATTAAATGAAATGTTATAAATATTAATGATGAATTTTCATTGCATTTGCTCATTAGAGAGAAACATCGAGACATACCTACACCAGTGTATGAAAGGTTACGCTATCTTTTTAAGTTTCGTGAATATATTCATTATTTGAATCATAATTTTTTTTTTTTTTTTAAATAAAACGTTGCCCCACACTAGGATTTTCTCCTGTGTCGTGGGTGCGTTTACAAACATACAAGTTCACATACACAATGACATCCAGACCCGAAACAACAATTTGTGGATCACACAAAGTGTTGTCCCGTGCGGGAATCGAACCCGCGACACGTTGCACGGCAGCCGGTTGCCCAGCCACCGCACCAAACGTGCAGTCGTAATAATACTCATACTATTTGTGCCCTGACCTTTAGGACGTTAAAAAATAAAAAACTAATAATGAAAACCAACGCTAGAATACAGAAAATAAAATAAAAATGGTCATTGGCACTCAGAGATATTTCTGATTCCTAAAATAATTGGGTACCTAATAATTAAAACCAAAATTGGGTAGTTTCCTAGGTTTAAAATAAATTGTTTCAACTTTTCAATGCAATAAATAATTAAAAAATAATCATTTTTTCATCCATTGACTTGACAATTTACCTACTTTTGGATTTTATCACGCTAATTTTAAGGAAATAAATATTCTATTTGATGCAGAAATATGATGACGTCATAATTTGCGATCCCATACAAAATTCATAGAAAAGTATTCGTTTTTGACATTTCAATAAAAGTATTTAATTTGACTACACTATCAACTACGGTATTAGCTAAACAGTCAGACTTCATTAATGACATACATACCATGAATAAATAAAACTCCAATAAACTTCAGCAAATCTTTTCCAAAATAAACAATAATTACAATAGTAACATTATTAAATCAAAATCCTTGACTTTCAAAACAGAGTGAGAAAACAATTTGTCTTACCTACAACGAGAACTTTAAATAATGATAAAGACAAACTACTGAAGGAGGTAACAACACGGAGTGAAACTACAAACATTCATTTTGTATGATGTTTTAAAGCGACATTTCTTAGCTCCGAGTAAAACTGACGAGAAATAGAGAATTTTAATTGGATTTCATGTTGATTTTGTCTGTTCTAGTCCATATAATGAACTGTGAAGTACCAGATTTTGTTTTGTGGTGATAGAAGAGAATGTTGTGGTGGTCCAGGGGATTTAAGATGCCCGCTTCTTATGCGTGGATTGAAACGATTAACCCGTCGTATGTCTAAACGCGGATCTACGCGAGACACAATGTATTTTCTATTGTCTCATATACGGGCATTCAAACGGTAGAATCGGTGTGATTCTTCTTTTCTTTTACAAACGTGAACTCTTTTAATCAAAACGTTGTCAAGTATTTCAGTGTATATTGATATTAAAAACGCCTTTGTGAATCCAGGACAAAGTTTGTCACAGGAAAATATTATTGAGTGCCATGGAAAATTGACAAAGGGTGAACTAAAAGCATTTATTATTTTGCTTTTGACCAGACGAGTGCAAGAACTTGGAGTGGTCCAGTAAAGCTACCGTGTTTTTCCAGAAATACTAATTCTGTTGAATCCTTGAATATTTCAAATTCATTTTTGTATTCAATAGGATTATTTTTCGGGTTTATTTTTCAACGCAGATCATGCTTGACTGTACGTGAACATCTCAATCCTGGGGAAAGTGAACCGTTTGTGTTTTGTGTTGTTTGTTCCTACTACAGAACATAAAATTTTGTTGTTGGTAACAAGAACTAAAGAATGTACTTTAAATTAAAATACATTTTACTTTTTATGTACATACTAGCTACTTGCTTCAGACATTATTGTTTTTAAAAATACTTTGATTACTCTTTACTAAATACTTTATTGGCTGCCTCGTTGGCCGAGTGATCTTAAGTGCGACTGCTGGCCGCTGGGCAAGAGATTTCGGCGTCGATTCCCGGGTTGGGCAAAGTATTACTGGGTTTTTAAATATTCTCAGTAGTAGCACGGAGTCTGGAATTGTCCCCGGTATATGGCAATAGGTTCACCCCCTATAACATAAAATAGTGAAAAAGTGGGTGTTACATTGTACAGTGGTATAATGTGCACCTCTGCCTACCTCTACGGGGATAATAGGCGTGATGTTATGTATGTATGTAAATATTTTATTCGAGACTCTTTGGTCGGTAATCACTCTCACGTCTACTCAATCAACGAGGTAGTCAAAACTATGTAATAAGGATTAATTAAAATCATTTTAAGTGCGAAAATTCATTCACCCTATAATGTTGGCATAATCTTAACTTAAATGATACTTCCCAAAAGTTATAATTAAAAGTGTGAGTGCCATAAGCTATGCAAGTGCATGCGGTTATTTTAGATAAAACTTTACAACGCTTTGCCCGACATTTTGTTTTTCTTAAACTTCTTCGCGTGGCCATAATCGTCCAAGTTTAAGTAATATTAGGGCTGCGAGGGTTTTCTTTAAAAGATTCTTAAACTTTGTAGTGTTCACTTATTTTGAACTGTACTCGGTAAAACTTTAGAAATAATTTTGCTTGTCGTTGCAAAAACTAAAGAACTTTAAGGGGCGACTAAAGACGACTAAAGACGACTTTTTAAAGAATGGAAACTTTGACAGCTTTCCGTAAAAAAACTGTCAGACGTCAATTTTATTGAATGAATAAGGTTGATTGAAAAATAAATATAGTTTCGATAGTACATACGTATATAAGCTTCGTAAACGAATATCATAGTGATATTAATAACACATTGGAGTAAGAATATTATACAACTAAAAGTCTAACTAGGTATGTACCGACAGCACAAATAAATTCACGAAAACGACAAAGAAAAATCTAATAAAAAACAAAAATGTTAATATGACATGTAAAAAATAAAATAAAAGTGTCAAGAAGCACCCCTGTGTCACGCTCAGGTAGTCAAAGTTTGTTACAAAGTTTGGTGATGTGAGGCCACGTTTGCATATCAAATGTTCCAGTTAAGTTTACAGATGTCGCTTGCAACGTTCAAGTTCCATAACTTGGTACTTACCGTTATAATATGCAAGCAGATTTTCGAATTATCGCTAGAGTAGTTTGGGATGTAATATTTTTGGAGTTTATGACAATTTTACTGTGAAATTGTGCGAAAATGAAAGTTTGTAAAGGAAGTTATAAATGAAACCTTGACAAAGGTTATGTTGTGGTGGCCCGGAGGTTTAACTCGTCGAGTACCGGTTTTATAGACACAATTATAGAACAATAGGTTGCGGTCACCGGTGACCGCTTGGTGTTTGACAGTTTACGACCGCTTTTCATACATGAGGGTGCCGGTTCGTAACCTACCAATAGCGAGTACCAATGTGACTTTTTCCGAGTTATATGTAGGTACTTTCTAAGATTATTTAGACACCACTGACAAACGGTAAAGGAAAACATTGGGAAGAAATCTGGACTTCTAATTTCTAAGTCGCAAATCGCTATCCCTCATTTAGCAAGCGCGGTAATTAATGCTCAAACCTTCTCCGTGTAAGAAGGCTTTGGTTAGCAGTGGCCACTTATTGCGTGTTGATGATGATGAGAAGGTGAAATTTGAAATCATGACAAATATAAAGCATACAACGGTGAAATAGTCAAGAACATAAAGATATTATGTAAATGATACACTACTGGAGTGATTTTGTGGAAGAAAAAATGAAAAATACCCTTAACCGACGAGCACGCATTGAAAGACTGATGTCTATTGTGGAAGCGAAAGAAGTAAGTAAAAATCGTAGCAATTGGTGTTCCATATTCCCGACAGGCGTGATGTTATGTATCTATGAATATAAAATGATTTGAATATTTCAAAGTTCTACAGAAACCCCAAA